GAGTCTGCCACCCGGGTCGTGCACCGGCCGACGCCACCCGGGTCGTGCACCGGCCGACGCCACCCGGGTCGTGCACCGGCCGACGCCACCCGGGTCGTGCACCGGCCGACGCCACCCGGGTCGTGCACCGGCCGACGCCACCCGGGTCGTGCACCGGCCGACGCCACCCGGGTCGTGCACCGGCCGACGCCACCCGGGTCGTGCATCGGCCGACGCCACCCGGGTCGTGCACCGGCCGACGCCACCCGGGTCGTGCACCGGCCGACGCCACCCGGGTCGTGCATCGGCCGACGCCACCCGGGTCGTGCACCGGCCGACGCCACCCGGGTCGTGCACCGGCCGACGCCACCCGGGTCGTGCACCGGCCGACGCCACCCGGGTCGTGCACCGGCCGACGCCACCCGGGTCGTGCACCGGCCGACGCCACCCGGGTCGTGCACCGGCCGACTCCCCACGGTGGGCACTGGGCCCGATTACTCCAATGGACGACGTAAAAATACTCCGGACAAAAATGCAACACTGACTCAATAAAGTACCTCGCTTTATTGAGAAAGAAAAACGGAAAATACAATTATCAGAATTTTGCTGTACGTTCACTTTGATGTGCAGCGGAGCTTGGGATACAGTGGCGCGATACAAGAATACGGTGGGGCGATACAGGGATACAGTGACGCGACACAGATACAGTGAGACAGTGTATCCCAGTGAGAAAAATACAGTATGTAGAGTGAGAAAAATACAGGGGCTACAGTGGCGTGTTACAGGGATTAGACACTAAGGTAGCAGAATTCAAGGGAATATTTGATTACATGACATAGATTTTGTAATTGCAAACATAATGTGCACCCCTGACGCTCCAGCACTTGTGCATCTGTGTACAACCATGTGTTTTGTCCCTTTAAATATCAGCACATGTCAACAAAATATAATACTGTGTGGAACGGATTACCAAGCTAAGTGTACACAGTCGTAGGTTAGTATAAGGCACTTTAATACGACAGTTTCTTCCTCCACAGATCTCCAGTATCAGCTCTTGATACTGGTAATGGCTCAAAAGGGCCACCACTTACGGGCTATTCATGCCCGTGCCACCTTTTGGGTGGCTTAATCTTCATCAATCAATCGACAGTTTCTTGACGTTGGGAACGCCGGCAAGAACGGGCTGCGTTGACCAGAGCTTCAAATGCAATAGACACTCGCTACGCGGGGAGAGTTGACTAAGTTATTTAAAAAAATCCATCAATTTGCAGGGATAACGCAGAGTATTAGCTTTGGCTAGGTTAGGTTATGGTCAGGTTAGGCTATGTTAAGTTGGGGTCTGGCAGGATAGATTAGGATAGGGGGTGGGGGTCATGTTAGGCTGTGGATCAGGTTATGGTCAGGTCAAGGTCAGGTCAATTCAGATCAGGGTAATGCCAACTGGGCTATGCACAAAAGATCTGTAGGCCTACCTCCACTAAACTTATTATCAAAAGACTCCAGATGACTTGATTCCTCTGCAATAAGGGTGAAACAAGGTACAAACTGTGTTAGTTATAGCACACAATCTATTACTAAATAATTATTAAATTAACTTAGTTAAATAATTAATAAATAACAAGGAAAAGCATGACAACAGAGGAGAGGAGTTCCTGGCTTAACCTTACCTTCACCGCTGACACCAACAAGCTGACGGCTCGCTGCCGCGTTGGGCGCCTCGATATCGACTTCCTAGTCGACTCCGGCGCCAACGCCTCCATCCTGCCCTACGAGATGGTCGAGGACTGCGGCCTGCTGCCCGAGATCGACAAGAGCTTCCGGGCTCGACTTCTCAATCCGGTGGCGGAGTTCCATCCTACCGTCCACGGCCGCCTGCGTATCTAGATGGAGTGTGAGGGCGGCGTGGTACTGAAGCCGTACCTGGTGGTACTCTCCCCCGCGATACCCATCCTGGGCATGGACGTGCTCTCGGGGCACAAGTGCGCGGTGACCTTCAGCAGGCAGCGTCCGGGGATGCAGATCCTGCGGCCCCTGATAAGGGGCCCTGTCACTCTAATTCGACCCCTCTTCGTCGAGTGCACCATCAAGGGGCCCCGCGACAAGTTCCGAGTGAACGCGATGATCGACTCCGGTGCCTCCTGCTGCTTCATGTCCCAGGACATGGCGCGGGAGCACAACCTGAAGGTGGAGAATATGACTACTACCCGGCGGTGCCATACCATCACGGGCACGACGGACGTCGTCGGATACAGCACCGTCGAAATGAAATTCCTCGGCCACTCCACCAGCGTCCGGCTCTGCGTCAAGGAGAACCAGGATGAGGTCATCATCGGCCTCGACGTCCTTCTTGACCTCGAGCTCAAGCTGAAGTTCTGAGCATGCGCAGGAGAAGGGAGTCTGCTCAGTTGTCTTTCAATTACCTTTTCTTTTTTTTTTTGTTAGTCATTATAACCACCTAATTATTATTATTATAACGCTATAATGGTCCAGGACGGACCGAGACGTCGACGTTCCTTCTTCATCTGGTGTGGAAGGCGCCGAGGCGGGAAGACACTGTAGCAGTAAGCCCGAATACGGGGTACACACCCAGGCTGCTCCTGTAGCCCTCTGGCCTGCGCTTGCCAACGAACTTGATCCGTAGAGCAGTGGTCTACATTCATGCCTTAGGGATCATTCATGCTACATTCATGCCTCATAACCAGGGATCGCGAGTTCGGTCCCCGACCGGGACAACAACAACAACAATTATTTGCCACGTTCCATTTCACCTAATGCCTCTGTTCACCTAGCAGTAACTAGGTACTCGGAAGTTGGACAACTTGTGGTGGTTGTATCCTGGAGGAAGGTCAGTAGTTTATGACCTTGGTGTGGTCCTCGATACGAGCCCAAAGTATACACAATCTGACGAAACGAAGTATCGACTGGGAGGATTGACTAGACGCCCAGCCTTAACTGTACACCTCTCTTCACCCAGCTCTGTTCGTTGTTAAACGATTTAGCGATTCGTTACTAAGGAAAATTAGGATTAACGACCTGCTCGAAACGTTATGCGTGCTAACGGCCTAGCAAGAATGTAGTAACTTGTATATATTTGTAATCCAAAGATATTTGCGTCAGTTCTACCAAACGTCCCGTTTTCTTTCGTAGTGAGATTTCAATTGTTTTATTGGTAAACTTAACTAACATTTACATCGTTAGCATTTTTTTTGCAATGCTATCCTATTTTTACAACTTTGGTGATAATTAGAGCTTGTATGGCCCACACCTTTGAAAAAAACTGTGCGTGTGCGCATCACACACACACACATACATTCATATGTAACACGAGAATGTACGTACAAGAATGACAGTCTCTGTGGTGTAGTGGTAAGACACTCGCCTGGCGTTCCGCGAGCGCTATGTCATGGGTTCGTATCCTGGCCGGGGAGGATTTACTGGGCGTAAATCCTTAACTGTAGCCTCTGTTTAACGCAACAGTAAAATGTGTACTTGGATGAAAAAACGATTCTTCGCGGCAGGGGATCGTATTCCAGGGACCTGCCCGAAACGCTACGCGTACTAGTGGCTGTACAAGAATGTAACAACTCTTGTATATATCTCAAAAAAAAAAAAAAAAAAAAAAAAAAATTTTATATATATATATAAATATAAAAAATATATATATATAAAAATATATATATATATATATATATATATATATATATATATATATAGGACATACACGCTGTCTGCACACGCTGTATGACAGTCATTCATATAGACGACTGAAACAAGCGAGGTGGTGGAGACCAAAACCGTCAATAGTTTCAAATAGTTATACAACAGTGTACTGGGAAGACTGAACACAACGAGCGTAGGTCTCAACCTGTAATTACACTTGGGTAATTACACAGGCTTACTGTCCCCGACAAAAATAAATTAATTATATTCGTCTTCTCTCATAGTACCGATTGCCCGAAACGCTATGCGTACTAGTGGCTTTAAGTATTGTATGTACTACCTCTATCTTTAAATCAAACAATGTTTGTACTGTAACTCCGCAACTATGTATGTACTTTTCTTAAATAAATTATTATATATTGTACTCCCATCCAAACCTCTACATACACCCCACCCAGCACCTCTACCTCCAAATCCTATAACAATGCCTCTACCCCTTCTGCGAACTCCCTATACAACGTTATTTACAAGCCTTCCTCCCCACACACACAAATCCCCCATACGCCCCCCCCCCCTCCTCTCCTCTCCTCCCCACTCTAAAGCCTGCCTCATCGATCTCTCAGCCCTTCATCCATCAAAATACTCTTCCTCGCCTTTTATTGAGGGATCAGAATTCCTTTTGTGTGGTGATGTCGCTCGGGAACACGTGGGAGCTTTAGGAGCATGAGTGATGGGCATGGATATATATCTTCCTATTTCGAGTGCGTTTATTTAGCCTGGAGTTTCAATGCGTTTATGGCGGGAGGAGAGACCACAGACTGATGGCCTCAGGGAGGGAGGAAGAGTTTGTGCAGAGTCGAAAACGGCTCGAGACCCGACCAGACGCTGGTATGGGTGACAGTCTTTACCACAGAGCCACCTACTGGAGAGGTCCAGGTTTAGAATCCTGTCAAGATTATTCCTCTCTATTTATTTATATACAAGAAGGTACATTGAGTTTGAGTGAATACATAGCATAGTATTTACAATCTTGTAAAGTCACTAGTACGCGCAGGGTATACAGGAAATTTCGGGCATACAGGAAAATTGGTCACAATTGCTTGTGATCAATTACTGTAACTGGTGAGTGCATCAACGACCTCGTTTCATGCAGGTTATTTGACCATCAGGGAACGAACAAGTGGTTGGGCACCGTTCCTACCCAGATTCTTGTCCTCGTGCACATTCCAAATGCAATATAATGATGCAGACTTTGTGCCGCCTCCCAATAATTAACCTTTGCCTTCCTGTCCAAAGTGAGCCGGGTGACGTCCCATGACCATCCCGCAAGGCGATTACACTTTGGGTAAGATAAAAAAAAACAATTGTAAACTTTTATTTTCGTATACAAAAACTACTTTAACATACAAAATAGTTAAGACACGCACACCGACTCTGCCGATACAAAACGGTATATACAAATTAACATTTAGGCAAGAAATTCTTTGAAAAAACATTACGAAGAGTGAACAAGATCTCCAGTTCATTAAAAGACTCCGGGAATCATGCGATAGGGAACCTCCTTACAATACTTGTCCCAGGCGGCGCCATACTTATCCCTGCACTTCTCCTCGTCTCTGAAGACCCTGTGGACGAGGAGAACCGTCAGGAAGATCACATACAGGAAGGGCCAGAAGGAGTAGCCTAGCCCCGGCAGGCACCAGGCCAAGGCAAGCACTAGTTCGAGCGTGTAGTTGAGGTGTCTCGCCACACCCCAACACCCTGATGTGAGCAGCTTCGAGCGCTTGGGGCCGATGGTACTCTTGTACTCAGCGTCTATGTAGGTAGCGGGCCTACCCCAGAGGTTACACTTTCCGTCGTGGGCGCGGAAGTACTCCTTCTCCCAGTCAATGCGATAGTTCCACAATATCGCGCACAGACCCAACACAAAAAAGAACATTGCAGCTTCCGCTGATACCAGAGGCGGGTGAGCCACGAGGTAGTAGGAAGTGTAGGTGTAAAGGGAAGGCACGAACACCAAACACCCCCAGCAGATGTAGTAACCAGCACGGTCCAGGATTATATCCAAGGTGTTGAAGTAGCCAGTTTCCCACCAGTAAAATTTTGCCAGATAGATGGTCTGAAGGGCGGCACATACGAAGTGAGCTATATTGAAACCATTCCTCTCCCAGCCCGCCAGGAAGAAGGCAACTACCAGTAGCTCCCAGGCGAGGAGGCCAAACCTGCAATTGGTCAGCTGCTTTACGTCAACACCGAGTAGTCTTGGGTGCAGCTCCATCCCGCGGTAGAATTCGTACACAAGCGGCTTTGGCTCAATCACCTCTGTCGACTCTGGCCACATCTTCCCCTTTACCAACAGGAAGATGCACAACACAAAAGCCAAAATATTGCACGATGCAAGGATCTGAAATAAGCAAAAGATGTAAAATAGTTTCTGAAGAAATCCAATTTTTTAATTTTATAAACTAGCCAGGGTACCCGGCGTTGCTCGGGTGAAAAACTTCAAACACATGTACATTTCTCACGACCTTCGTCGCTAATCATATTCCTCTCGGGCTCAGTTTCCCCACCTAAACCAAGCCATCAGTAGCCCATGCAACAAGTCAAATATTGACATTCCCTTTACAAGTTAATGCAGTTATGACATTCTGCAGAAAAATCAACCTACAGGATTCATCTTTATTCTGGGGGTTCCCAACACAATCATGTAAATATTATGCCGAATGAATCTTGGCGAGGATGGAGAATTATTTAGCGAGGATGACATTTGGTATCAAGCCGAGGGCATGTGGGAGGGGGGGGGAACAACCCCCATGTGGTCCATCATCTTCCCCTTGTGACCGCCACTCATCACCTACTAATCACCTAATCACCTGGCAAAATTTAGCCATGTTAGCCCCAAACGTCTGGCCTTCAACCCTAAACAGAATCCTATTTTATAAATATAGATGTTTTACAGATTGCGGTAAAGTAATTACAAATAACTGTAGTTTCACCGGCTCACATTTTGAAAATTGTCAACCAGATCGCAGGGGACGTTTGGATAAAAGACGACGAGGCTGAGGAAGGCGGCCAGCGACACCCAGAAGAACTGGAAGCCGTTGGCCCTGTACTTTGGTGTGTAGCCAAAGCTGGTCTGAGGGCCGTGGAACACCTTGCCTGGCACCTGAAACAAATTACTCTAGTCCATATAGAGCTTAAATTATAAGTCAGGCAAAAAAAAAATCAAATAACCAATAGTTAATGCATATAGTCTTTTCGATATTATAGAAAGCTGTAACATTTTATTGACATTATTAAACTAAAATCAGGACACGCTTTACTAACATGTGATCTCTTAAAATAGTCACACGACAACTGGAAAGGAGATTATTTATTATTAACATCTTTATTGACAAAATTAATTATAATTTTGCCTAATCTGAGGATTTTGATAGTCTTATTAAAGTGAGAATAATGGAAAGGAGAGACTAAAAAGAGACTAATTTCAGGAGTTTGCTGCGAGTTCTCCACACACACACACACACACACACACACACACACACACACACACACACACACACACACACACACACAGCAAACTACCTAAATACTTCAAAAACCGATAGTGTTTCAGCTCTTTCTAGAAGTTGTGCGGACATTGCCCACACATCGAACCCTTTCAAGTTAAATTTTCACATAAACAGTAAATTTAGGTTACAGTGTGCAGTGACAGGTATACTTATGATACACAATTCGCAGCCTGTGTGGTGGTGGAGTAGGCTACAGGCACATCATGGTCTCTGAATATGCACCGCATTGTATTTTATTGCACTATTTGAAACCTTCGAGCTCTGAATTCTGTCAAGAAAAATGGCAGTGACCTTGTAGCCGTTCAACCCGTCCTAATAGAACGTCGCATTTTGACGTATAATCTACCCAAGGCCAAAAATTATCTTACGGTACTTTAAAATGGTAGCGGCTCCCAAAATTGACATACTGTCCCGTGTTCTGTCCTCTGGTAGCTTAGCATTGGGCATTTTGGTTCGACAGTTTCTTTACGTTTAGAAATCTTAGGACAGGCTAGCCTTATCACCTGTACTCAAGAGCCCAAATCAAATCGCCAAATACTATCTTAAATCTTCAATACATCAGATATCAACCAATTCCACTTTTTCAGCTTTATCATCAAATAAAGATATCCCGCAATACAGCCATATTAATAAATATCAAAACATAAACACCAGGTTAAAGACAGAGCAGACATACCCATAGCGAGAGAAGCGCCCAGAGGACCGTAACAGCCACGACGGTCCAGGAGTGCGTGTTCCCCACCAAGCTCCATCTGTTGACACCGTCGCCGCCCACCAGCGCCAGGTACTGGACGCCCACGGTCGTCGTCACCACCATCACGGGCGGCCCCAGGTAGTACCGCAGTAGGCTATGCACTCCCATGCCTACAGCGAGCCATACCTCCATGACAAAATCTACCGGCATTGTGTACGTGTCTGGGCGTATGACATCCCCCCGCCACCCAACCCGTCCTCACACAAGGTTGTTTAAAACAGCGGCCGTCCTCCCCAGACGCAATCATCAATTTTAACATAGTGTGTATTAAAATTGGTTTGTTCTAATATATAAATTAATATTATTATACATAAAAATTATATGTATAGTTAGGCGTAGGTTAGGTTAGGTGTTTAGAGGTTCTGTTGGCTATTATTTGTATTGGAAGTACGCGGGTGTAGCATTTATAGAATTGTGGTTCGAACAGAGGATGTGAGCGAAGCACTTGTTCCGGAAGTGTTCGGACGTCATCAGTTGTACAGCCCGTCCTACAAACAAAGACCCAAAAGTGATTCCATGCACCCCACCAAACCCCCTGTTTATGAATGAAAAACGGGTTACACACGACTCACCACTGTTGACGTTCGAACACTTCCGGAACGAGTGCTTCACTGACGAATTTTGTTCGAACCACAACGCTATAAATGCTTCACCCACTTACTACAAATACAAATAATCGCCAACAGAACCTAAACACCTAACCTAACCTGTGCCTATATATGCACAATGTGCTAATATATTATAATTTATATATGAGAAAATTCCTCTTTTGAATGAATAACATGCTAAAATTGATTAATATGTCTTTGGAGTCGACCGCAGGATGGAATGTACTTGGTCAGAAGACAGGTTGCGTCCTCAGAACAGAAGAAAATGACATCAGAAAAAGAGTTTCAACATTTGTCTACATTTATTATTTGACTTCTCTAGGTCACCGTGACAGCCAGGGAGGTGACAGCAGTGTTCGTTTGTATGTCAAAGATTCCGGGCAATACTAACAAGAGTGGTCTACCCCACGGATACCAGTTAAATAAAAAAATAAATAAAATAAACAATAATAATAATAATAATGTGAAATGCACTTTACCGAAAATGGGAGAAACGAGAAACGTGAAGGTGGGGGGGGGGGGGTGCGGTAAATAAACTGTTTTTTTTTATTAGAAATATACAAACAATATAATTAACAGTTGTTTTAATGTCGTGTGTGTACTGTTGATACATTATTAATGGCCATACATGGATATTACAAGCTTACATCACTACTGTAAGGCTGTACTGAAAATTACATTATTACAACGGCAGTTAAATTACAGTATTACACCGAGTTGTATAATTTGATATTTTAGCGTATTTTCTAAATACAAATTTACGATTAAAGCACATATATAAATGCACGTTTCTTGATCATAGGGATGAACAATAGCAGAGCCACACACACACATATCACACCCTCGGCTATGATAGCACCTCCACGACACAGTGGACGAAACACTTCACTAACGCAAGAATGATTACAAGTAATAGAAAGCTCGGGGGGGGGGGGGGGGATGATGAGGAGAAGACCGCGCTAGTCGAGGTCATTGACCAGCGCCTCAACACTGTTTTGATTTCACTTTCATTTTAGGTCAGTGACCGGTGAGTCGCTCTGTGGGAACCCCAGGATTGATAGATATATATAATGCAACTGAAAACTCACACACCAGTTATATATATATATATATATATATATATATATATATATATATATATATAATATATATTTATATATGTTCAGTGAGGATCCGAGTTCACAGGGTACTCTGAGTACTCTTTATTTTCTTCTCCGAGGCTATGGGTCCCTACACTTGCACCAGAGGTGGTACCCCTTTTAGGTTTTAAAATAAAAAAATGATATTATATATATATATATATATATATATATATATATATATATATATATATATATATATATATATATATATATATATATATATATATATATATATATATATATATATATATATATATATATATATATATGTATATATATATGTATATATATATGTATATATATATGTATATATATGTGTATATATATGTATATATATATGTATATATATGTATATATATATGTATATATATATGTATATATATATATATATATATATGTATATATATATGTATATATATATGTATATATATATGTATATATATATATATATATATATATATATATATATATATATATATATATATATATATATATATATATGTATATATATATGTATATATATATGTATATATATGTATATATATGTATTTATATGTATATATATATATATATATATATATATATATATATATATATATATATATATATATATATATATATATATATATATATATATATATGTATGGGTGCTAAAACTCAGCTGGTGTATATACTACCATTTAGATATTAGATAGTATGGAATTAAACCTTATGGAAATGCTTCTCAATATTTTTAACTTTCAAATTTCAGTAACGCTATCGTGAGACCCATTCACCCCGAGTATAATATATTCGTCACATTACAAACGTTTAGCCAGACACTTAATTCATAATGAAATATACCTAAAAAAAACAAAGCAAAAAATATTGCAAGTTAAATTCAAACAAACAATGACCGTGTCAGATCCTAACCATTGTCTCCTCTTAGTGACAACAAAAGTATTTATCAAACGTGTGAACAATTTATGATTGATGTTCAACTGTCACTTGGTAACTACAAAGCATGGCTTACCTCAAATGGATATAGTCTTGCACATACAACCCGCTAACGACAATCCCTGATATGAGCAGCTACCGGATGGCCTCACGCACGACACAGTGAGGAAGAAGCACAACATGCGGGTAGAATACACAACAGAAGAGAGAGAGAGAGAGAGAGAGGGAACAAAGACAAAAGAAAGAAAATGGAAATATGAGGAAGGTCGTAGGTTAGAAAGTAGAATAAGGGTCGGAGCAGCCGCCAGCGTCACCATGCAGGCGCCAACTGTGTTTGCTGGGAGAGCTGCCTCCGCCAGCCTCCCCGAGGTGCCACATAGTACATATATACTCGCCTCCTCACTAAATCAATATTGCCGTCAGATATTATTTAGTGAAGTGTGCCAAAAACAAAAATTTATATATATCTACCATAGAACATGTAATAAACCTGACGGCAATTAATCATTTTCAGAAAAGGTAGGGGGCAAGGGGAAGGTGCAATTAGGATGTACTTGGCCCTGGCATTTCCACTCCCCCTATCCGTTTTCAGCAGTTACTGTATTGACGGTGGGAAGAGTGAGTATATTTGGAGATGTGTTGGCAAGGGCGAAGAGTGCTTCAGTAACACTCCTGCTCCACAGATTGGTCTATGTACTTCAACGATTACATTTGATATGCAGGTCACAGATTCACAAGGCCAAATCTGAGTTTTTCAATGAAATAATAGGTAAATTAGGAGAAAAAACGGAGAGTATTCACTAACACATAAACGTGACACCCACCGTCATACACATGGGGTTTACATATGTTTAGTGGTTTTGAACTGGATTAGTTTAGGTTCCTGTTGATCCCATATCCAGCTTTGGTTCAGTCGATGATCGTTTCATGAAATTATTTCAATTGGTATAAAGATGCTTAATGAAATGACCCTAATCCCTGCAACTGAACATAGAATGTTTAAAAATCATAATATTTGATAAATTAAGAGAGAGACGGTTGTTGTTGCTAATTTAGGGGCGACGACGATCGTGGGATCGGATGCGCTCCGGCGTCCCCCGTGAAGGGTTAATCGCGAAGCCTAATGGCGAAATGAATATCGTTTATCAGCTGAAACTACTATGCCTCGCGGCAAAGAAGCACACAGACAGGCAGATGATTGGGGAGCCTCAGGAGCTTCACAGGGTGACAAGCACCGGCCTCATCCCACACAGAGAACACTGGCTAGCAAAACCAAAAAACTCGGCCCCCATCGAAAACGCAAAAGTCATCCAGTGCTCCCCGGCAGAGCAGAAGCCAGCCGTTCACCACAGCTGAGGGCACACCAGGAGCCCACTAAGATCCACCAACTCCCGGCAGCTCTCGGCCAAGCCGGCGCCGGACACCGTCACCCAGCCGGGAGAACCTGCCAGAAAACGCTCAAAATCCATCAACTATCCTGTGACCCAAGACGATATGTGCGCTAGGCATCGTAACACTCGGGACCGTTGAATATGAATACCAAACGGCAGTATCAAAACCAAAACGCTAAACAATGCGATCCGGCGGCTCCCAGTGCGGATGAGGAGGAGGAGGTGTCCAGACATCCGTTCGTCGTCAAGGTTGAACCAGGAGTCTTAATTAATAGAGACATCAACCTCACTTCCCTGCATGGTGTTGGGTTACCCGTTACTAAATTACTCTTCCTTCCCATCCAAGAAGGTAATTAAAAAACCGGCCTATGTTTCGCCCTGAAGCAAATCGCAATACCTTAAAAGCCAGCTGGAAACTCTGGAGATAGTGCGCCGCCTCTCCAAGCTATTTACATTGATGGTTCCCTACACAACCGCAATGGTGTTGCCGGAAGTGCAGGTGTTGGGACAGTCAGGGGCGGCGGCTCCTGTTCTGAGTGGGGAGAGGCTGTAAAATAACAGTGCTTCCACTCTTAATACCGAATTTGTTATAATCCTTGCGGTAATATTATATATATATATATATATATATATATATATATATATATATATATATATATATATATATATATATATATATATATATATATATATAATATATATATATATATATATATATATATATATATATATATATATATATATATATATATATATATATATATATATTATATAATATTATTTGGTAGCAGTCTCTCTTGCAAACATATGTTGTTGAATATAACAGAAGGGGTAAAATTAATGATTCTAACACGGATCTTCTCAATATGTCTTATGTTTTTCTTCATTGTCGAGGGAAGTTGAAAAATTTGCTCCACAAAGTTCATTTTCACACAATATTTATGGTCTGACGCTTAGGAAAGCGTTTCGCAAGGCACTCCTTACATTTTCAAAGACAAGTTTTCAATGCCCTGCCAAGGCTTATATTCGCCTCTGGTGAGGTGATACAGGACAAGATTGAGATGAACACGTTGATCAATGGCACATGGGGTGTTTAATGGGCGTGTTCTATGTTCTTGCTTCTTGTTTCTGTGTTGGGTCGAGGTTTTGAAGTGGGTAGAATGTAATTATGTGTTAATTAGCTTTTCATTGCTGGTTTTGACATTTTGATGTGTAGGACCTCGCTGATGTCGAGTCTTCTGTTGTCGTTGTACCTGTCGATAATTTCTGTGTTGCTTATTAAGATTTTTCTGGTGATGGTCTGGTTGTGTGAGGAGATTATATGCTCCTTGAAGGAGCCCTGTTGATTGTACATTGTTAATCGCATAGAGAGTGAGAGACGTTATTGTCTTGCCAATATACTGAGATCTTTGGAACTGACAGTCCCCAAGTGGGCATGTGATGGCATAAACGACGTTGTTCTCTTTTAAGGCGTTCTGTTTGGTGTCTGGAGAGTTTTTCATAAGTAGGTTGGCCGTCTACTTGTTTTTTGAAGTAAATTGTTAATTGTACCTTCTGATTTGTGTCTGTGGGGATAACGTTCCTATTAACAATATCTTTCAGGACACTTTCCTCCGTTGTATGAGCCGTGGAAAAGAAGTACTTGTAAAACAATCTAATAGGAAGTTCAAGTGTTGTGTTAGTTGATTCTTCAGAGGTTGCATGGCGTGACACCTTTCTTTTAAAGACGTCTTCAAGATAACCGTTAGCGAAGCCATTATTGACTAGGACCTGCCTTGTTCTACAGAGTTCTTCGCCGGGATCTGTCAACGAAATGTTCTACCTCTTCGCCCTTACTTCGATACACACAGAAATCACAATATCGTGATGCATCAAATGAACAAATCTACAAGGGCGATGATGAGCGTTCGAACCTGCACCCGGGATGATCCCAGACCCGTCTTAGTCCACTATACCACGACATGTTTAACGAAGACGACTAAGGCGCGTAAAGAAATTGAATTGGATCATCCCGGGCGTAGGTTCGAACCCCAATGACGGCCCTTGTCTATTTGTTCATTTGATGCATCACCATATTGTGATTTCTGTGTGTACCTAAGGTTGACTGAGGGTTCCCAGCGGTACCCCACTAGAGGCAGATACTGCTTGTTCTGGTATCTGATAGTTTATCATCACTCGGCAGGTAAGGACGTGGAGACCAAACATGTTATAAAAAACAAGATCAACGCTAAACAATCAAAACTTCACCCCACACTTGCCCGCCTTTATTAGACGGCCACGCTGCCAGACGCAAGTTTCCCAAGTCCAAGCAGTGTTACCAAACAAGCAACAATGATTATCAACAAAAAAACAAGGGGGTGCAGGGAACCAAGAACACCATTTCATCGGGCGGGGTTAACATTAACCATGTTGACAATGATGGAGGTGGTGTCCCCCCCCCCTATCCCCCCTGGAGCTAGCCAGGGCGACAAACTCCCCTCTGGTCCGGCGCCTCAGCTGGAGGACGTGACGTCATCGGCGTATGCCACTCAATTCAAATACGAATACAAATTTTTATGCAGGTAAAGTACATACATACAAGGTAAGATACAAAAGTTGACGGATTTATAGATAGAGCTAGTACATACAATGCCTAAAGTCACTATTACGCAAAGCGTTTCGGGCAGGAAAAACAAAAAAAAATCGCTTCTTTAGGCTTGCATTGAGGATCATTCCCCCCCCCCCTTCCCTTCCCTTCCCTTCCCCCATCAAGGTCGAACTACTAACCTTCCGGGGAGCCGGTGGCTGAGCGGACAAAACACTGGACGCGTGATTCTGTGGTCCCGGGTTCCATCCCGGGCGCCGGCGAGAAACAATAGGCAGAGTTTCTTTCATCCTGATGCCCCTGTTACCTAGCAGTAAATGGGTACCTGGGAGTTAGTCAGCTGTCACGGGCTGCTTCCTGGGGGTGGAGGCCTGGTCGAGGACAGGGGCCTCAGGGGACACTAAGCCCCGAAATCATCTCAAGATAACTTCCTCAGGATGCAACCCGACAACATTTTCCTAACTCCCGTGTAAATACATATTTACTGTAAGGTGAACAGAGACATTAGGTGAAAAAATCGTTTCAAGCCATTTCTGTTTCTCGCTATCAAACCAGCTCTCGCAGTTACTATTTTTTATTTATATTTACAAGAGTTCTTACATTCTTGTACAGTCACTAGCACGCATAGCGTTTTGGGCAAGTTCTTAAATCCTAATTTTCCCCGGAATACTGCCCGCCAAATCGTTTATAACAACCAGGTACCCATTCACTGCTGGGTGAACAGAGGCTACAGTTAAGGATTGGCACCTAGTCAATCCTCCCCGACTACGAAAACGAACCCAGGCAAAGCGGGTTCAGGGGAGCTGAAGCCTCCTCGCCCAAGCTCAAGAACTGGAATGATAAGTTCCAGTTCTTGTTCCAGATAAGTTTCCATAATCAATGGGTCAATAAGTTATGCCAGATCCCAGAATGTCAAGCATAATGATTAAGTACCGGCTAGGCCACGTTCTTAACTGTTAAACAACACTTGGAGAAACAGGACCTTTCCACTACCCTCGGCAGTAATCACCGATAGAACAACACAACATCGTCCCTACTTTTCTTCTAATTACCATTATCAAACCACTGTTAAAACAAATAATAGTTAGCTTAAGGCTTCACAATGATCGCTTTCGTTAGCATGTTGTGGTTGTTGTTTTAAATTCAGCTACTCAGAACAAAAAATTCCAAGCAGCACGGACTATGGTGAGCCCGTAGTGGACTTACCTAGCACAGGAACGGGGCTGTCTCCTTTTTTTTCGTTAGCCACTTTTTTGCTGCTTTTGGCAACATAAGCTGGGAGAGTGAACTCGGCAGAATGACAAGCATCAGTCCAGGTGTGCAAACATGCCTTTACAAAATTTTAGGTTCTCTATAAGACGCACTGTCCCGTGGTTGTTAAACAAGTCAACAAAAAGGCTCAACAACCCATGCTTTACTAAAAGCAGACTTAAAATAATAAAAAGCATGAATATGAGAAGAAATCCAAACTTTGAATCGATTTCAAGGAAACGGCAAAAAGATCGATCAAAGATCACAAAAATGATCCAAAATAAGCTATTATGAAAACAAATTAAATTTATTCAAAACATTGACAACAATTTCCTATATATTGGGGTCAAAGAAGAACTCGAATAAAACAATATCCCCTACCTAGTGATGGTGCAATGACGCAATATCGCCCACTCACACCGATTCTAAATTAAAAAGTTTCTATCCATCAATTAGCACATGCCTTGCAAATGTTATAAAATGTATAACATTATCCCAGCAAATAAAAATCCCAACATCCCAAATTAACGTCACCGACTATTTCTCGGCCAGCTAGCTAGCCCGAGTCTTTCTATCTATCTCCAACTTGATCTTTAGATATTAATATATATAATCATCTCAAAACTAAATTAAGTAACATTTCTGAGATACCACCTCGAGTGTCGTAGCACCGGCCATAGCCGCACTCTACAATAAAACACTTGAACTCCGGACCTTCACTGATATCTTGAAACAGTGAAGATCTCACTGACATAAACATCTTTAGACCAATTCTAAAAGTTCCACCCACTTTGTCCAAAATATTTCAAAAGCTAATGGACAAGCAGATTTTCCCGCAGGACAAGACTGCCCGAAACGCTATGCGTGTTATAGTGGCTTTACAAGAATGTACAAATACCACTCTTATGTAAGCTCTCCAACCCATTGTACCTTCTTGTAAATAAAATATTATTATTTACTCCACCCTGGCTAAACATAATATTCTTAGCCCTCGCTAATATGGCTTCAGATCATAACAAAACACCAGTGATGTTTGTAATCAACATGCTTGACTTGCTACATGCAGCTTTTGAAAAGAAATATGAATTCTACCCCCCATACGTCAGTGTGTTGACATGCCTAAGGGTTTTGGCACTGTTAACAACAATAACCTTCTTATAACAGAAAACTATGGAAACGGGGGTCACTTCCCACATCTGATTAATTTTATTTGTTTAATTTTGTCCCGAGGGGCGAGTTAATTGGGCAGCGCCACTCATCCTGTGAGGGAACATTCCACCATAGCAGCATATACAACACCCACAATAGGAAGAAAACCCGCTGTAGTCTTACCTCAGTGACAGACACCAGTATGTTTCTGTAAACTATGTTACTTCTCCCACAGTAACAATTAATATTGGTGTACTACAGAGTAGTATACTTGGTCCATTCGTCTTTCTCATATACCTGGAGTGTAAACTGGGAATTCTTCTACTCCCCAAGGTCAAGGTCAAGCCTGGAACCAGGTTTGACTTGTGATCCAAAATGCTGGTGGTGCTTTGGGTGACCCGCAGCACCTTAAGCGACACTATTTGCTGATGACACAACCTTCGTTTTCTCAAACACTAACCCACTTATTCTAACTATGATTATCCAACTAATAAAAAAACAAAAACTTCATTTATTGCTAACTACTAACAAACTCACCCTTAACACTAAAAAAAAATTACTATATGTTGTTTGGAAACACGTCAACCAATGAAATTTAACTAAGAATAAACAATGCCCAAATTGAGAAGGGAAATTCCTTGGTGTTCACATTGACAACAAAAAATGTAACAAAACGGTTCATAAAATTGTAAGCATTCTCTCTAAAATCTGATACTATATAACTCCCTCTACCTTAGAAATAATATATTATTCACCCATCTATCCGAATACTAGACGCATATACCAGGCATATCTGCGCCTGTGGATCTAAAACTCTAAATTATCTACGAGACATAATTACCTAACATAAATCGGCAATCAAAATTAATCTGTTGAGCGCAGTTTCTCTTCGTTGTCTCTCTAACTTTAGAAACAGACTTATGACGTAGAAACTGGTATACGTTTTGTGCTCTCTTTAACAACCTTGTAAAAGTACAAGAATATATATACATATTCATGTAATTATTAACCGATTACCCTGCCAGTATTGTTGGGGGGGGTAAAGGCTACATGTCGAATTACAGATATAATAGTTACCGTTCATATTGATTCGTTCTCTATGAAAATTTAATCAAAGAAAATAAATTTTCTAGTTGAATTAATACATAACTCAACTGGTTGGTAAGCTAGTTACAAAATTTAATGTATGTTACATCATCAATGAGTTCGAGAGCAACCACAAATACAGTTTCTAAATTAAGCAACTTACATATGTGGAGGGCTAGTGTCACAATTCATATGTTTATCCTGCACACCGCCCCCCATCCAGTAGGCAGCGGTGGAGAGGTTACAATCACTCTGTTACTGCCTCCAGCTAGCAACCTGGGGGATATTTAGCTAAAGTTTCTGGTAGTAGATCATTTGAAATTAAATATTTACCCATTTCTTGAACATTTATTATAGAGTTGTTTCTAAATTCACGTATCGTTTCAGACTCCAGCACACAGTGACGGAGTGTGTACGAAAATGTTTTTGATAGAGTTTACATTTTGTCAGGTCTACATCAAGAGCTAATGCAAACTCACAGAGATAATTATAACCGAGTCTAAGTCGAGCAGTAGTAACATCTAGGAGTGCTGAGTTTATTGGATGATCCAAAGATGTGTGACTCTTCTTGCATAATAGTATGATGATGGATGGCACTGCTAATGTAGATGTCACTTCTCAGATGTGATATCTGATATCTTTTCAGATAGCAGGTTTTGTTGAAGAAAATGAAAATTCAAATTGTAACTAAGAAGCCAAGACAGAGTAATATTCTTCATCCAAAGTTAAGTCTTCAGTCAGTTGAAAACCCCACTTTCAAATTGGACATCAAGAGTTTCATAACAGGAATTACAAATAACGTTACTCCTGTACACAACAAGTGTTTCAGAATTACTCCTGTACACCGCAAGTGTTTCAGAATTAATGTTGTATTAATGCTGTCAAGTATGCTCCTGTCTCCCTGCCGTTACCACTGTCCAGCTGCCGACAAAGTAAATAACTTCGTACACCACACACACACAACTCACTCTCTTAAATTTATATCCCCGTGGTCCTGTGATCACGCATAGCCACACCGTACATGGGGTGTCATTCAACCTTCGGCTAGTATACCCTCCGTCCTGCTGCCGCTCCCTGAGCACCTTATTCCACTCACCACCACTTGCCTCTGCGGCAGACATGGACATCGATTCTTCGGATTTTCTAGAGTACTACTTAACCTCAGTAGCAAGTGTCTGACCTTAGGTCGTGAGGTAATTTCAAGAGGCACTTAATCACAGAATACATAATAACACTCATTTAAGTCTCCGTTTGTACTAGCCATTCAGAGGGTCATGGGACTGATTTTGCTACTAGCAATCTCCATTTTTTGTAACATGGCCTGGAGGGCCGTGCTCAAGGTGTAATGCCTTTTACTCTCCTGGTCTGCAAGTTCACGCCTGGCTTACATTCACAGTTAGTTAGTTTTGACAAATTTCCCTTCATCGTGAAAACCTGCGTATGCAAAGGGTCAAATTAAACTTTTTACATTACTTTACTGATATTTCAAGAGAGCACACAGCAACAGGTAGATTGGGGTGCTGTACATGACACGCGGGCCTCTCCCTCAGGTAGGTTAAGCATAGCTGGGTCTGACCAGTAACTGGAAGAGAGACCACGTTGAGACAGCGTCACATGTCTTGAGGTTATCTTGAGATGATTTCGGAGCTTAGCGTCCCCGCAGCCTGGTCCTTGACCAGGCCTCCATCATTAACCCCTGGTGGTAGATGGTCTAGCTACTCCCACTAATCTCTAGAGATCGGTTGGTAGATGGTAGAGTTGATGCAGCGGAAGAAGGGCCAACTATTTTCAGATTGAGGGTAAACGATGATTCCCCTGCTGAGGAAGGCGCCGACGTAGCCGAAGGTGCCGTCCGTCATGACGTGGTGGTCGCCCAGGGTGAGGAGGGCCAGGTCCACCACAGACTCGTTGGAACCTGACGAGGAGAGAGTAAATTGTTATATATATCCCCCTCGTAGGCAGTCTACAGGCGTCTTAACACCCCCTGCTACTGTTACTCTCATTATTACTACAAGAACTGCTGGAATACCTTCTTATATAACAATTAGTTAACTACTACTACTACCATCACTAAGGTAGGCCTACTCACCAACGTAGACAACATCTTGGTGCTTGAGGTTCTCGAGGCACCACTTGGGATCGTCACTTGTCACCAGGAAGACAGGCTCCGGTACCCTGCGGGTCACCAACATGGTTCACTACCTCACCCCACACGGGTCACAACCTCACCCACACAGTTCACAACCTCACCCACACGGGTCACCACCTCATGTGGTTCACCACCTCACCCACTATACAAATAATTTCCAACAGAACCTATAAGCAACATATGCCTAACTATAATAATATTTATTTATTTACTTATTAAAATTCTTTTAAACACAATTCGTCATATCCATACATTAAAACATTGATTGTAACCATGATATATATGTGCTTCAGCCTACAGTTTAGACCTATTGTCTTATGTATGACCCTCTGTCCTGCGTGACAGTGAATACCACCATTATCCTCACTTTAATAAGACTATCAAAATCCTCAGATTAGGCAAAATTGTAATTAATTTTGTTAATAAAGATGTTAATAATAATAATAGTTAACCTTTATGAACTCGTCTTGGGGAGGATGGGGCCTGTATGCAGCTCTGGATAATTTGTGACGGAGGAAAAAAAAAATGATGTAATCGTAAATCTAAAACCAATAGGCTACTGTAACTTACCTTTCCCTGAAGAAATCAAATGCTCGCTGAAAATAAGATGTCTGTGCCGGTTCTAGGCTGAATTTCTCCTTAAGAAACGTGATATAATCTTTCCTACGAACATGGACTGTGATTTTGGTAACAGTTTCGTTGGCAAGATAACCTAGGCTGTTGATGGCTGCGTCAACGCGGGCTCTGGCCTTCCCTACAATGTCACTCCCGAAAGTAAACTCTTGTCGAAACTGCTCTCTGAACGGGAGCAAGAGATCCGGGGGACAAGGATTGTTGTAGATGTAGAGGGACTCGTTGATCGGGTAGGGGCGGGGCATGCGCGGACCCGGCAGCGCGGGGCCGCTGGGGCTGTCGTTCGCCACAAGAGTTCGGTAGAGGTCATCGAAGTGAATTTGTCTGGAGTAATTGAGGAAGCAGGCGTGGTCCTCAACGGGAAGCGTCAGCCGGGAGAAGAACTGACTGATGTACTTGTGCATCTCTTGGTGGATGGAGGCCTGAAACAGATTTGAAATTAATTTCGTTGGAATATCATTACATGCTATCATTTCAAAGCATGATACTATTGACATCTTTGCAATGACAGAGAGGATACTTAAACAAATATCAGATGAAAACAAATTCACCAAGACCTGAAAGCATAATTCAACATTATGGTGAATACCGTGAGGAGAATATTATTTATATATATATATATATATATATATATATATATATATATATATATATATATATATATATATATATATATATATATATATATAATTTTCTGTGGTTGATTGTTCAATCACTGAACTATATGCTTAAAAGATCCCCTAACCCTGTCCACGGAGGACAGAATATATTATAATATATATATATGCTGGTTAGTACTGTAAATGTGTGGCCACCTCAGTGGTAGAGGATAATACACAAAAACCACTATTATGTCTGTTAGCCTCCTAGTGTCAGCCCATTGTTGTGACTTGTTCCCAGCAAAATTATAATTATTATTATTTGAAATACTAGTATTAATATTATCATCACAATTATCATTGTAAAAGGCCACACTTATGACTGGGAGACTGTGAGAGAGAATGAGGACACCAGGAGGGGTTGAAAGTCATAACTTACCCCCAAGAGTGACTGACGGGTCATAACTTACCCCACAAGAGTGACTGACGGGTCATAACTTACCACCAAGAGAGACTAAGTTGAGACACAACTTACCCTCACACCGAACATCACTCTCAAAACAGCTAGCGACATGTACTGGCAGATCTCGTTGCCTATTCGCCCACCTCTGTTTATCGTAACGTAAGGCAACGTACAATCTGGGGGAGGAAAGAGAGTGAAGTCTATAGTCTCCCCCTCCATTCACCCTTCCATTTTCTGCTTCCTCTTTCTATAGTCTCCCTCCATTTTAGTCACACACTAGTGTATTCTAACACCCTTATAACTACAGTTCACAACGCAACATTAATATATATCAGGTCCATTAAGCAATTACTATTATTATCAGGTCCATTAGTACTATTACTATTATTTAAACTATTAGCTATTATTCAAAATAATATGATTAGAGTTGTAAGCCAATATGTATCGTGTCTCACAGAACGCATTGAAAGATGAGACACAGGGCGGAGTGAAAAGAGACAATGTGAGACCAGGGCTGGTGTGAGACAAGAGACAATGTGAGACAAGGGCCAGTGTGAGACAAGAGACAATGTGAGACAAGGGCCAGTGTGAGACAAGAGACAATGTGAGACAAGGGCCAGTGTGAGACAAGAGACAATGCGAGACCAGGGCTGGTGTGAGACAACGGCTGGTGTGACCCAGGAGACAATGTGAGACAAGGGCTGGTGTGAGACAAGAGACAATGTGAGACAAGGAAGCACTGCCAGTCTCACCGTTCTGGTTGTCTGGAATGAGGGGAAAGTAGCGAGGCTGAGGCAGACACCGTCCAGCAGCCACAACACTGCCGTTGATACCTGTGGGTGGCAGACACTGGTGGTGGTGTTGTTGTTATAGATTCAGCTACTCGGAACAAATGCCAAGTAGCACGGGCTATGGTGAGCCCGTAACTTACCTGGCACAGGAGCGAGGCAAATATAGCACGGCTATGGTGAGCCGTAGTGGACTTACCTGGCACAGGAGCGAGTTTATACCTAGTGTTACCTAGTGGTAACACTAGACATGAACCCTCTCATCCCTCTCTTCATCTCACAGACGTTCACGCTGGTTCTCCCCAGTTAGGAAAGCATGAGAAATGAAGCAAGGAAAACACTTAAGAATGCAAATACATAATACCAACAAGAAGAGGACAAAAAAAAGATATATAACCACTTGGACCATCGGGAATCGAACGTCGATCCTGCAAAAAAGCAAGGCCGTTCCTTCTACCGATGTAAGAAAATATAGTATCGGAATTAAACGAGAAGCAGAAAAATAATTTGGGTAATGATACCTCTACCAAAGCTGATGATCAACCCAAGCTACACCATAGCCAAGTGGGTAAGCTATAAGAGCATAGATGGAAATGACATCACCGATAATTTACAAAGAACTTTACAAACAATTTCTGTATGTTTTGAAGATGTCGTCAGGGCACCTGCTGCGTTTTAATTACATTGTTATTGATATTCATGATAATATGCTCCGATATAGAGTTTAAATCTGTTTGATCTATGATGGAGGTAGTCAGAGAACAAGGGCGACTAACGAGGTAGATAATTGATGAAGATTAAGCCACCCAAGAGGTGGCACGGGCATGAATAGCCCGTAAGGGAAAGAGGTAGATTAACTTTATTTTATTTGTAGATTTCGATTCTTCGCGGCAGGGGATCGCATTCCAGGGACCTGCCCGAAACGCTACGCGTACTAGTGGCTGTACAAGAATGTAGCAACTCTTGTATATATCTCAAAAAAAAAAAAAAAAACTAGCAAGTTATATATCCTCCCTCCTCACCAGCGTGACTTATGAGCTCCTTGCTCCTCTTCAGCGTCTTACGAACGCGCGGGCTATTTTCAAAACTTCCAACCCACCCACCTACACAACGGAAGGAAACATAGACTACGGTCTTCAATCTTCCCGTGGTTCGAAACCCGGCACCCTCCACCCTTCATCAGCCAACCAATCAACCCTCGTCCCCTCCATCCTTATCAAACAAATAAGTTTAGAAGTCACTTTCATCATCCTCCACAGCGGGAGGACACTGGTGCCGTCCCGTGTTAATTCATGCTACTTCACCTTTTAGCTCTGTGACGTTGTAGAAAGCGGACTGATGACGGCACAGAGATGGATGCAGGAGGACAGAAGTCAGGCTGGAGAGGAGGACCCAGCCGGCGCCGGCCACCAACACCGCCACCAACACCACACCTCGTAGGAAGCTGATGTTCAGAATACTGTCATTAGTTCGCCTTGGGCTCGAGATTATAATATATTTGAATTAAATCAATTGTCAAGGAAAAACTTCAAACTACCCCCTAATCTAACCAAGCCTGATCAAACTTGGTTACGTATATTTAGCCTAGGCTAAGATTATTGAATCATGAACCTAACCTAACCTTCAATCTAGCTCAACCTTATTTAGCCAATCCCGACCTAGCCTAACCGCCTGAACACACCTATCGGAATGTACCCGAGCCTGACCTAACTCGTCTAGGGTTAGACGAGTTACGCCTCCAATACGCCCGGTACGTTGTTGTTGTTGTTTTAGATTTAGCTACTCAGAACGAAATGTCCATCTAGCACGGGCTATAGTGAACCCGTAATTGAGTTCCGTTATTCGCCCTGTACTGGGCGTATTGGATTTATACCATTAGGGAGGTCAAGTACATAATATAAATAGGTGAGGAGTACGGAGTAAAAGAGGGAAAGAATAGGGCATAAATGGGGGATGTAAATGGGAACGATTAAGAAGTATCCTATCCTCAAAGATACAAAGCCAGTGTCCTCAACTCTTATAATAGTCAATGCCTTACCCAATACTTAATAAATCCTTGCCCAGATCAGACCACACCATTCAATAATTCCTCCAAAAACAAAAATGAAAATTTACAGGCTTTGATCGTGCTCAGTGACACTCACCACATAATGTTGTGGTGAGTGTCACTGAGAATTCTTAGTTCACTTGAAGACCAAACCACACACCGTAAGATGAGCAGACGACGACGTTTCGGTCCGTCCTGGACCATTAGCAAGTCGATTGTCTAACTTACATGACTCTTAGTTCACTTACCGTCTCAGTGTCATGGAGATCCAGTCGTCGTGGGGCGTGCTACCTGTAACACTTCTCTCCCACGCTAACCGCTCCCTGACACTCTACTTGTTCCAAGACAAACATTATCTTACGGGATATATTAGATCATAAGTTCACTGCGTTCACACATTAAATTGCACTCAAAAGTTATACAGATGTAGACAACGACTTTAGGATGATTAAAAGTCACACTCTGGTTCTGAATTTTTCAGGCTTTGTCTCCTGGACGTGCTCAGAGACACGTCGTCTCCCGGACGTGCTCAGAGCCGTCGTCTCTCGGACGTGCTCAGAGAGCCGTCGTCTCTCGGACGTGCTCAGAGAGCCGTCGTCTCCCGGAGTTGTGAGAGGGCCAGGTCCTCGACGACCACTGCACTAGTCAGAGGACCTGTGAGAACTGGAGCACCTTAGCACTGATAGAGGTGGGAAGCAACACACCTTAAGCAACCTCTTGCTCAGCTCACACCACCATCTTGCTGCCGCATCTGTCTTCAAAGAATTCCCAACTCCTTGAATTTGTACTTCATTCCCGTACTCACTCGTCTTTGAATATTGCTTCTTCATTTAAAAAAAAAGTATTTTTTTATTTAACCCTTGACAAAAACGGGAAAAATTAAAGAATTTAATCACAAGTTGACCCTTAAATAAGAGATTCACAGAGGCCAAGAAGAAGGAAGAGAAGGAAGTGGCAGTAGTTCCTCCTCCTCCTCCTCTCCTATACAGACAGCAACAAGAGTAATTCGTCTTCTAGTCGATGTTGGGAGATGTGTGGCCTTCCACTAGTTGAGCTGGACGATAAAGAGCGACGGTCTCGCTTTATGCAAGTCGGCGTTCAATCCCCGACCGTCCAAGTGGTTGGTCATCATTCCTTTCCCCCATGTTCATTAGGATGGGGTGGTGGTGAAGACCGTAGCTAGGTCAACCATAGCCTGAGCATACGTTGATTATGCTCGTGGCGGACGAGCATAATCAAACCCATCAAGCAAAGACAATAAGTGGTTGGTAAGGCAAAAAAAGCAACCACCGGAGGCACTTGTATACCACGTATTAAATAGACACCTCTTATAAACACCACATTCCTGAAATCCCATGTTAACTATATCACAGTTGAGAGCTGTCGCCTCTACCACGCAGTTCTCCTTTGCAATAACTCCTTGAGATTTAAACACAAAAAGATAAATGATTCGTCTTTATTGCACATCAAAATGATCACAAGCACATTGTTATTTGATGAAAAGTGACTCAGGTTATACAGGGGTTCAAGATCTTGATTGGGGCTGACAGGAGGGTGATGGATGATCTTAAGGATAGAGGTATTTCAGGTGTGGGAGATGTGGATGTGGATGTAGATGTGGATGGTGGAACAGCAAATGTGGATGGTGGAACAGCAAATGTGCGCGACAGTGGTGCACATGTGGGTGATAAGACTGCATTCCAGGGTGAATGGTATGTTGATGGAGTGATATCCGCAGACCCGGGAGACAGGGGCGCAGATCCGGGAGACAGGGGCGCAGATCCAGGAGACAGGGGCGCAGATCCGGGAGACAGGGGCGCAGATCCGGGAGACGGGGGCGCAGCTTCGGGAGACAGGGGCGCAGATCCAAGAGACAGGGACGTAAACCCGGGTGACAGGTGCGCAGACCCGGCGGACAGGACCGCAGCAAGAGGGCGTGTGGGTTGACGCGCGCGAATGTGGTGCGCCGTCCACATGTGTCTTGTGAGGGCGTCCGACCTGGTGTACCTGGAGAAGGGGACAAAAATATGTGTCGATTGATACAATTTCTGTTCCACGCTTTCCCAGCGCGGTGTGAGGCGTCGGCAGGGTACTAATGGCTGCCTGTTTTATATAAAAACAAAAAAAATAAAAAGGCAACCATAGCAAATAAACTAATGATGACCAAACGACAACATTTCGGTCCGTCCTGAACCCTTATCATGTCGCATGTAACCGAAACATCGTTGTAGATAGTCGAGATTATATATATATATTCTTTTAATAGTACAGAATTTTAAGTCGCTTCGTACTTCATAAAGGTGATGAAGTACAAAGTGAAAGAACCACAAACAGGAACTTAACGAGTCATATTTTGTCTAGGGTTCGCTTGCGCCAAATGGGTTCTTTAGCGTGCAAGCAAGCATACCACATATGTTGCAAGCACACCCCATATGTTGCAAGCACACCCATATGCCGCAAGCACACCCATATGCTGCAAGCACACCCATATGCTGCAAATGAACTTATATGGAGCAAGCCTGTATAAGCATTTGTGTGAGGGGGGTACCATGGTGGGAGGACCTGTGTGTGCGAATAGAGTGCGTGGGCGTACCTGTGAAGGCAGGCAGGTAAGGGGCAGGCGTAAGTGCACTTGGCGTGTACAGGCAGGTGAGTCCGCTGGTGTTTGGTGAGGTGGTCCCGCCGAACGAACCGTCGCCCACACTTCTGCAACACAACCATCTACGTCACTCTTACACTTTTGTGGCGAACAACAACAAAATCTCTTACATGTGGTAAGAACAGAAAATGAACTCATTCCAAGAGTAATAAACGGATAATACCTGGCAAAGAAACGGTCTGTGTCCGGAGTGGATCCTGGAGTGTCGGGTAAGTTCCTCGTTTCTGCAAAAGGCTCTCCCGCATCCGGATTGCTCGCACACGAACGGTCTCTCACCTAGGTCTGTAGGCAATTGTGTTAGTCGTGAATCGGTACAATATTATTTTAGTTAAGAAATTATTAAATATAGATTTAAGCTCACAAACTGAATGCACCAAAATATATTTTTAAGACACACTTCTGGACAACTGTTATTGATGGCCAAGTGGTTTTGGTATTTTTTTGTTACTTTATATTCATTAAAACTGTACGAGTTAAACTAAGAATTTGAAAGATCGACTGCCACAGGTGGGCGCCGAAGATGGCTTACTCTCAGCAGCGGTGGAAGAAATAAATTCTGACGATGATTCCTCCTTGACGATGGCCATGGACGCGGCTTCCGTCACCTGGGGCCTGTATGATATCTCCATTGCCGCCGTCCCTTTTTCAAGAAGAGGAGAAGCCAGTTGTTTGAACCCATACACTGTCCCATAGTGCAGAAGGTATGGGGCAACCCACTTGAAACCCGAGGACCTGTAGGGGCTGAGGTAGGTCACTTCGCGGACTTTGTACTGGTGTCTGAGGTTGAGGCTGGTCCAGGAGACCCGTGTGGACCAGTCGACTAAGTTTCGTGTAGTGCACCCACAGTTAGACTCGAATTCGCTGAAGACTCTCGAACTTCCCTGAAAGCTGCCGTTTGTGCAGCACAGTAGACTTCGGTGGACACCCGACGTCAGGAGAGGGTTGGGTGGTCGTGGTTTTATATTTTCCGCTTCAACATCGTCGAAAGACTTATGGTCGCAGTCTTCCTCCGGGATATCCTCAGAGTTAAGGTAAACCCGAGGCTCATCCCCACCAGTCTTAAATGGGTCTATGTTGACACCGGAGAATAGGCTTGTTGATCCTTTCATTAAACACTTCGCTTCTGTTGCTTGTAGACTCTCTGAAGACTGGTAGCCGCAATCTTTGTTCTCTGGTCGTCCGTTGTGCTTAGCCTGAGTACCTGGCTGCCGAGGTAAGGACACGCCACTCTGACTACGGCATCTGAACAGCCCTGGAGGCATCCAACAATCCTCACCCAAGTTACAAATCTCCGAATCTTTTCTGAAATGAAAGGCCTTGGAAGACTTACCGAAGAGCCGGGCCTTCGGGTTCACAGAGAAGGCTGCGGCGCCGTCGTACGGGGCGGTACACTCCAGTAGTGTCATGATGCTTCACAGTGCTTTAATAACTTACTTAAGACACGTTTGCCATCGTGTTAGAGCTAGTTGTACTGCTGTGGCGTTTCCTCTTGATGCTCAATTAGAGAGAGTTCTAGCACCTTGAACTGTTTAAAGTGTTCAGAAGACTTGACTCCGTGCATCGGACTCATCACATCTTTAGCTTTTTTCACATCCAATATCTATCAAGGTGCAAATAGGTCCGGATTACGAAATCAGGTGTGTGTGTGTGGTGTATGTGTAGATAGTCTTGCAGATCTTATGCCCAGAAGTAAACCACTTATTGACAAACTTGACAGTAATATCTTAGTTTTCTTGACGGCTGCAGGGCACTTCAAGTATGGATCTGCGAAGTGGCCCAAGTCGGCCAGGTGCGAAGGACAGTCTTGCTGGTAACCAAACAAGAGACGCTCCTCCACTACGACGAAGAGATGAAGATAGACACGTCCACCTGTCACCAGAAGATCCTTGGAAGTGGAACTAAGCTGAAACAGAGGTCAGCGTTGATTGTCTTCTCGGGAGAGGGAGGGGGGGGGGGGTGTGGAGTGGTGGGGAAGGTAGTAGGGCTTGTGGTGGGGGTGGTTGGAGATAGTGTCAAGTGTTCATTGTTCGCCACGAATCTCAGCGAAGATAAAGAGCGACTATGCCACCTACAGTCGATCAAGAGTAGTAGAGTCAGTGGCTGACACGGCTGTCAGTCTATTGTTGAGATTACCGGGAAATAATGACAGAATATATCAAATGAAGTGTAATTTTGGGTGTGTGGTTTTGGGGGTGTTCTTGTTGGGTGTATCAGAGAGAGAGTGTGTGTAATTACTATTTGTATTTGCTATTTGTGTCTGCAGAATCGAACTATTAGCTCTTGGACGCCCGTGTTTCTAACCAATTTATTTTTCCTCTATAATGTCTACTACATATATTTACCTTATACACGCACACACATCCCCAGGTGTAATTTATTATTTGTATCTGCAGAATCGAGCTATTAGCTCTTGGACCCCGCCTTTATAACCAAATTATTTTATTTCCCTCTACTATATTTACTACATATATTTCTCACACACACACACACACACACACACACACAAGCATGTGTGTGTGTGCATACTCACCTAGTTGTGCTTATGGGGGCTGAGCTTTGGCTCTTTGGTCCCGCCTCTCAACTGTCAATCAACAGGTGTACAGATCCCTGAGCCTACTGGGCTCTTATCAAATCTACATTTGAAACTGTGTATGGAGTCAGCCTCCACCACATAACAAATGGAATGCATTAAGTAGTGAACTACTCTGACACTGAAAAAATTATTTCTAATGTCTTTGTGGCTCATTTGGGTATTAAGGTTCCACCAGTGTTCCCTTGTTCGTTTTCTACCCATGCTAAAGAGTTTGTCTTTGTCCACCCTGTCAATTCCCCTGAGAATTTTGTAGGTGGTTATCATGTCTCCCCTTGTGTATGTGTGTACTCACACACACACACACCTTGTGAATGTGTGTGTGTGTATTCACCTAGCTGTATTTACCTAGTTGTGCTTGCGAGGGTTGAGCTCTGGCTCTTTGGTCCCGCCTCTCAACGGTCAATCAACCAATATTCAGGTTCCTGAGTCTACTGGGTTCTATCATTTCTACACTTGAAGCTGTGTATGGAGTCAGCCTCCACCACATCACTGCCTAATGCATTCCATTTGTCTACTACTCTGACACTGAAAAAATTCTTTCTAACGTCTCCATGGCTCATTTGGGCACTCAATTTTCACATGTGTCCCCCTAGTGCGTGTGCCCCTTGTGGTAAATAGTCTGTCTTTATCTACCCTATCAATTCCTCTGAGAATCTTGTATGTGGTGATAATGTCCCCTCTAACTCTTCTGTCTCCCAGTGACGTGAGGTTTAATTCCGGAGGTCTCTCCTCGTAGCTCATACTCCTTAGTTCGGGTACTAGTCTGGTGGCAAACTATTGAACCTTTTCCAGTTTAGTCTTATGCTTGACTAGATATGGACTCCATGCTGGAGCCGCATACTCCAGGATTGGTCTGACATATGTCTTGAGGTTATCTTGAGGTTATCTTGAGATGATTTCGGGGCTTTTAGTGTCCCCGCGGCCCGGTCCTCGACCAGGCCTCCACCCCCAGGAAGCAGCCCGTGACAGCTGACTAACACCCAGGTACCTATTTACTGCTAGGTAACAGGGACATTCAGGGTGAAAGAAACTTTGCCCATTTGTTTCTGCCTCGTGCGGGAATCGAACCCGCGCCACAGAATTACGAGTCCTGCGCGCTTTCCACCAGGCTACGAGGCCCCTTTGTACGTGGTATACAAAGTTCTGAAAGATTCCTTACTTAAGTTTCTAAAGGCCGTTCTTATGTTAGCCAACCTGGCATATGCCGCTGATGTTATCCTCTTGATATGAGCTTCAGGGGACAGGTCTGGCGTGATATCAACCCCCAGGTATTTTTCTCTCTGTCTCTCTCTCTCTGTCTCTTGAAGTATTTCATCTCCCAAATGATACCTTGTATCATGTGTGTGTGTGTGTGTGTGTGTGTGTGTGTGTGTGTGTGTGTGTGTGTGTGTGTGTGTGTGTGTGTGTGTGTGTGCGCGCGCGCGCGCACGAGTGCGTGGTGTGTGGAGGGGCGGTTGGGGGCGTGATTACTTAAACCATCACCACCGTCCACGTGCCAGATAATATACAGATAACCACTCGATAAAAACCCTGTAACAAAGACAGTGGAAAGAGACCCGCCACCGCACGCTCATCTCCTGCCCCCTCCCCCATCTACCCCCCCCCCCCTCCTCTCATCTACCACCACTCCTCCCACCATCAACCACATCCCGAACTCCCTCTCACTCACCCGCCTTCATCAACCATCGGCTTTCACTGCAATTATCAGATTAAAATGAGATGTGTAGTTGGGTACACGTCACATACTCTCAGTCCGGAGCGCGATGCTGCCATGACAGCGAGATGAAAGCTGTTATAAGCAACGACGGCACAAGAATCACTGACGAGTTGAATGGTCTGAAAGTTGATTGGCGTGTTTTTTCAGGTGATTAGGAAGAAGGAAAATCAAATGAAACCGAGGATAATTATCCAGCGCTCATAATAAAGACCCCCAACGCGAAGTGACAATGATTTACACAGTTCTTCGACAGAGAACGAATCCACTCGTCTGAGCTCGAGATACACACTCATACCTCTCACTGTATTTCCCATTTCTAAACTTCCCTTCACGTATGTCTCTCCTTCTTTACTCCCCCCCCCCCCCCCAAAAAAAAAAGAGAGAGTGGGAAGAGAGTACCATTCGTTGATATCTCCTTCATGCAGACATAACTTGGGGCAGATAAATAGCGCTCCTCCTCCTCCTGGCTGATAACAGAGTCGTGAACCGATAGGTCTTTCTTCATCTCTGTTTCCCCATGTATTCCCCAATCCCCCAGACCCACGCCCCACTCCTCCTGACACCCTTCTCGCCCCCCTCCCCCCATCCCAGACACCACCCCCCATCTTACCCAAGTCCCAAAACCCTCACCCATCCCCCTATCTCTCCTCCATCCCCCCACAAACTCCAAGCCAGCATCCCATTCATCCTCCCCTTCCTCCCCTCCCCCTTGCCAATCAGTCCATCCTCCAACCTCGCCATCCTCTCAATCCGCCCCCATCACCACCTCCACTGCAGGTACCCGCCCTCCTCTCCACCTCCCTCTTTGTGTCTCAATCACTTGGCACAGATAACCCATCAACACGACCCCCCCAGTGCCCGATTGGGCACTGGGGGTCGTGTTGGGCACCATGGGCTAGCCACCTGCACATTTAAATAGCTGCCTCTTTATCAATAAAAAAAGGGAGCCTGAAGCAGGAACAGGCAGAGAAAAATGCAGAGGTAGAGAGCAAACTCTCTCCCACCCTCCTTGTAACTCTACCATTCTTTATCCAGTCTCCGAGTCTTTGACGAATAACACAAAAGTGTTCAAAATTGCTAAGACACAACTTAATTCTCTTTCACAGGCGATTGATTTAACGTTTAACACAAACAAGGAACAACGGTTTCAAGATCAAACACGCCACAATGTGGGATTGAGAACAAGAGATGTTTTTTCCACCCATATGGCTATAAACCCATGGAATCACCTACCCCTACATATTTACATTCATATGTTATTATAACACGCAAAACACACACACAAACATTACTTACAAGTATATTTTGGCCACCACAAGTATGTAAGAGTCGGTGGCGAAGATGTCCGCCTCTGTGGTGTCTAGGTGGAACATGGCACTCTGTCGGGGGGTGAAAGGCAGCACTATTAATTCCTGCAGGTAGGTTGGTCAGCCTACTGCACCTACCTCACCAGGTGGGGCCACCACCATCAAACTAATTAAACTCTGCAACGAACTCCCCCCCCCCACCCTTGATGAACAGTACAACGACGACCACCATCACTCCATGTTGAATGTAGTACCTCAGTTGATAATATAGCTGCGTACTTTTACATGCAGTTGAGTACAGAAGGACAAGGTACTGGAGCCAGTAGACAAATATCTGGTTACAGACTCTAGTGTAGGTACGTCAGCAATAATGCCAAACCGTTAATATGATCAGAGAGAAAAGGGGAGGGAGGGTTAACCTATTTTCATTTATCGGCGGTGTGGCACTCATTAATCGACTGTCAAACAGGTTACTGGAATTGGAAGGCAGGCCTAGAGTGTTTGAAACAAGGTTCACGAGTGGTTCTTTCTAAAAGAGGTGAATGTTATCAAAGCTATGTTCAACCCGTCCTCGACTCAAGTCCATTACATCCAGTGGTCGACCCCACAGATGCATTCATAAATGTTAACATGCTGTTCATTCAAAAATGGGAATTTTCTCTGTCTCAGATCAGAGTTTTCTCGTTGCCAGCTACTTTCCCCTGTGTTTGTGATGGGTTACAATTGTTCAATTTCCTATCCACTGGTTACTGAAAATTGATTCACTTTTTTTTTCTTAGGTTAAACTGGTTTTTATATTTTTTTGCTTTTTGTTCACAGTTTTTTGAGAAAGAAAACGTTGAAGGGGGTGTGCGAGGTGGCGGCGGCGAGACGATGGTCTGTGGTATAACGTGGACAAAGTTAAGAGATAGAGTAGTAAATACATAACATGATATTAGGAGAGTAGACAAGGTACAGGCGACTCTCGGAGACACTATAGGCAGGAGTTCAATTGTCTGCAAGAAAAGACCAGACATTCCATACATTGTAAACATTGAACATGCCGCGGCCTCTGGCTGCTGACCTCTGACCTCAGCGACCTCTGGCTGCTGACCTCTGACCTCAGCGACCTCTGGCTGCTGACCTCTGACCTCAGCGACCTCTGGCTGCTGACCTCTGACCTCAGCGACCTCTGGCTGCTGACCTCTGACCTCAGCGACCTCTGGCTGCTGACCTCTGACCTCAGCGACCTCTGGCTGCTGACCTCTGACCTCAGCGACCTCTGGCTGCTGACCTCTGACCTCAGCGACCACTGGCTGCTGACCTCTGACTTCAGCGACCTCTCGCTGTTGAGTGAACGCCATATCTCTTTAAGTGTATTATAGTCTTCTCGGCTCATACCGGGAAATCCATTGTTTCCTCAAATTACAGTTTAGTTCATTTATTATGCACCCCATACCCATCTTGTGGGCGGTAGTGGAACGGGTTACAGAGGCACATAATGGGCTCAGGGACTGAACTCCAGAATTCATGTAGCTAAGCAAGTTACAGTGTTGATGAACTAGTTACAAAATTCAATGCACATCTTCATATCAACAATGGGCTCGAGACCGACCACAAGTACAGTTTCTAAATTAAGCAACTGACATATGTGGAGAGCTAGTGTCACAATTGATGTGTTTGTACTGCACACCGCCCCCCATCCAGTGGGCAGCGATGGAGAGGTTACAATCACTTAATTACTATCTACAAGTTAAAACTGGGGATATTTGGCTAAGATTTCTGGCAGCAGATCATTTTGATTTAAATGTTTACACATGTGTGACAATGTCAGACCACGAAGGAACGATCAAGACAAGAATTTCCTTAAGTCCTTTCGTATTTAATAATATATCTCCAGAAGGATCATGTATACATAAAGAATTATATATATAAACATATATGTATAATTGTATATATTTATATAAACATATATGTATATAAACATATATGTATATGTATAAACATATTATATAAAAAGACATGTATATATATGTTTACACATATACAGGACATACAAGTGTACATACAGGACACCTCATGGAAGTCTACGGCGGCGGCCATACGCTTCCAGGGTGCAGCTACTCTCTCCATCCTCAGTTTGGCATTTTTATTTTATATTTAAATATTTACATGTAAAGACATTTATTTCATTTGCGCACTGCAAAGTGAATTTTCATATAATAAATTTATTTATATCCAAATATGATTAAATGAGAAAATTAGTATTACTCATGGAAACTTTCAACGAGCTTCAGTAATATAAGGCCGACACAACAGATGGCTCTGATAAAACGTAAACAAACATGATGTCATTATGAAACGTAAAATTTTGTTGTTTTTTACAGCTTTCAGCACAGTTCTGCTACTGCGAAGATTATCACAATACTCAACCGCTCAGTTAAACCGCCTTCAGGGCTCTAGTCGGGTGTTTATTTCTTACATATTAAATACCAGCAGTGATCAAAATGCTTACATATATTTCTTCTAAAAAGAATTTCCCTTAAAAGTCACAGCCTAGGCAGAGGCCGCAATTACCACTAAAGAAAAAAACAAAGCAGAGCTTAATAACTTACCTTTTTCTCTTATAACAAGAGATCTACGAGGAATTTATGTAGGAAATAATTCGCCCTTCCTTCCTGACGCCGAGGTCGACACTAAAGTAAGATTAGTAAAGAAAGGAAACTCTCTAAGGTCTTTCACTTTTATTGCAAGTGGCAGCTAGAAGCATTGTTTTGCCATCTAGTAGACGTCAAATTCATGAAAATTAGAGAATTGTTATTTTTGATGGGTAACTATTGTACAGATATCACAGAATGTTTAATGAATGATAAAACTATTTATATATTTATGTTAGTTTTGTTCCATATTCTCTTATTGTTACTGTCAAATGTAGACGCCCAGATATATTTGTAGCCACCCCACGTCTACATCAGCAGTGGTGTAAACTCTCAGAGATATTTCTAGTCTAGCCTATATCAAACCTAACACCAGCAACACCTAAGTTGATTAATCTTATTATTTGAACCACAGTTCTGGGGCTGTATTGAAGAGCAGTGTGACGGCTTAAGATATGGCTAGTATTCCTCCGCCTTAGATCTATACATTCATATTGAGGCTATATAAGTATCATTGGCTTCAAGATGCTACTGGCCTCTGATACAAACATGTTAGAACTCATGGTTTTGGGGAGTTAAGAGCAATTGGTTATAATAATCTCATAAAATTAAAATGCCAAGTTCAAGTGCAAGGAATATGGAGATTAATTCTACTTGGAGGGTGGAAGCCTATTGTTTACACGGGCTGTACTCCAGGTAGAAAGGAGCCAGCCAACTCTTATAATTACACTTTCAAAGATGTAGGTTAGATTTGTTTGAACAATTTGATGTCAGTATCACTTTGTTTTGAGTTATTGTTTTGCTACTGTCCTGGTGGTAGAGGAACATCAGAGGATGAGTCTCAGAGCTTCGTGCCCCACTGTTGTTCCAAGCGAGGCGTCCGGCTTGGACTCTCAGTGCGTTCACGAGTCCCAGGGTCTATGAAGCCGTCGGTGTTTGGACGTGACAAAGGGCTGGATGTTTCAGTATTTGTGTCCGTGTTCGTCTGCTCCTCACCGATCTGAGATACACACAGGGGCTGGCTGGCAGCCTGACCGGAGAGATGGATAACAGGTTGACTAGAAAGTGAGGGTATAGGTTGACTTGGGATTTGCGGTACAGGCTGATTGGACGATTGTGGCACAGTCACAAGGTTAAGCTGAGCAGTTGACGAAACGTAACCCTGCGGGCCGGGCTGAACTGGTGAGAGGGATGGGGCTGTGGAGCCTGATTGGGTGCTATATCCAAGCCTCTGACTAGGGGAGGGCTGACTGACGGAGGGAGCTGACGCGCTCCAGGGGGAGGGTTGAGTGTGGTGACGAGTCGCGTTGAGGTAGTGACCATTACCAGGAACCTGGATTGGTTCCTCGGACGCCACATCTGTGGGGGGAAGATGTGGCGTCCTACCCATGGCGTTCATCTGCGATGGATGGGCGTTCATCTGCGATGGATGGGAGTTCATTTGCGATGGATGGGCGTTCATCTGCGAGGGATGGGCGTTCATCTGTGAGGGATGGGCGTTCATCTGCGATGGATAGGCGTTCATCTGCGATGGATAGGAGTTCATTTGCGATGGATGGGAGTTCATTTGCGATGGATGCGCGTTCATCTGCGATGGATAGGAGTTCATTTGTGATGGATGGGCGTTCATCTGCGATGGGTAGGCGTTCATCTGCGATGGATGGACGTTCATTTGCGATGGATGGGCGTTCATCTGCGATGGATAGACGTTCATTTGCGATGGGTGGGCGTTCATCGGCGATGGACGGGCGTTCATCTGCGATGGGTAGGCGTTCATCTGTGATGGATGGGCATTCATTTGCGATGGGTAGGCGTTCATCGGCGATGGGTGGGCGTTCATCAGCAATGAACGGGCATTTATCTGTGATGGGTAGGCGTTCATTTGCGAGGACTGAGCGCTCATCGACGATGGACTGATGTGCCTCTGCGATGGGTAAAGAGGCACGGTGAAAGTGGAGCCCCTCAACACATACCGCCATAACTGTAACAAAAAAAGATTTTAACGTTAACGTTAGGCCATTTTACAACAACATGGTGGTAAATCTGATGTAGAGTGAAGCATAGGGGGGGGGGGGTGCAGACGAGGCTGAGATTGTCTGGAGAGATCATCGGGAAGTTGATATACGTCTCTTTGGCTATAGCAGACTCCAGGATCTCCACCTAGGGAGGAGGAGTGGCACAGTGCTTCGAGGTATTGGTAGGTTCCTTCAAGAGACGATCATGGCTCGGAAACTCACAGGAATGTGAAGTTAAGGTTTCAGGTCTAAAGTGGTAGCGGGATCGAACTAGGGTCCCAGGGGGGTGGGGCGGGAGGCTATCTCTTACGTACACACACCACTTTCCTCTCATCCACTCTCCAATTCCACCTTCATCCTTCACTACCTCCACCCGTCACTACCTTCAACACTCAATCTCCAACACTCACTATATCCCCAGTCTCCACTTATACCTTCTAATAATCGCTACTGACATCACCACTACCCACACTGACACCACCACCACCACCCTCTCTGACACCTTTACTGACACCACGACTTACTATCTTCTGCAGGTGCCAGGCGATGGCCCCGAATACGACGGCAGGGACGAAGGTGAAGCTACAGCCGAGGAGGGCGCTGTACTCGTCAATCCTCCAGGGGGAGATGTCCTCGTAAGTGACGCCGCTGCCTATGCACAGCACCACACCCGCCAGCACCAACGTGGACAGGCACGCCAGGAGACGCCGCACCTCCATCAAGGTGGCCGCTGAAGGGAAGGTCGGCGCCTGCTCCCGGGGGCAGGAAGATAGTTGGAGTCATAAATTGTGGTGGAGCTCGAGTGCGAGTCACAGGATGTGGGTGAGGAAGGTGGAATATATATTTTAATCTGAGAGAGAGAGAGAGAGAGAGAGAGAGAGAGAGAGAGAGAGGAGAGAGAGAGAGAGAGAGAGAGAGAGAGAGAGAGAGAGAGGAGAGAGAGAGAGAGGAGAGAGAGAGAAAGAGAGATGAGAGAGAGAGAAAGAGAAAGAGAGAGAGAAAGCGAGAGAGAGAGAGAGGGAGATAGAGAGAGAGAGAGAGAGAGAGAGAAGAGAGGGAGAGAGAGAGATAGAGGAGAGAGAGAGAGAGAGAGAGAGAGAGAGAGAGAGAGAGAGAGAGAGAGGAGAAGAGAGAGAGAAGAGCGAGAGAGAGAGAGAGAGAGTGTGAGAGGAAAGAGAGAGAAAGAAAGAGAGAGAGAATGAGAGAGAGAGAAAAAGAGAAAGAGAGAAGAAAGAGAGGAGAGAGAGAGAGGAGAGGGAGGAGAGAGAGAGAGAGAGAGAGAGAGAGGAGAGAGAGAGAGAGAGGAGAGAGAGAGGAGAGAGAGAAGAGAGAGAGATGAGAGAGAGAGAGAGAGAGGGAGAGAAGAGGAGAGAGAGAGAGCTGAGAGAGAGAGAGAGAGAGAGAGAGAGGTGTAGTTATGAGGAGAAAGCACTAAGCCATATAGAAATAGAAAGATACAAAAATTATTTGTATAAGATAAATAAATATTGGAGAGAGCTACTACAATACCAAACGCTCTCATCTTGGCCCAACTTCCTAGACAACCAGAAGACAACTATTTAACATAAATGAATACTCAAAGATATATTATAAGAACGAAAGTGTAATAACATTCAAATGAGGTTTAATAAAGACCTTTCCTACCCTCTGTACCCCTGTGTGCGGTACCAGAAGTACTGTACATGTTCCACGCTATACTGGGCGTCGCTCTGCCAGCGATCACATTCCTCGCCTCTCGCAACACATCAAAATTTGCCTTGTATATTTATCTACAATATCACTATCCTAACAGATGATCATACATATAAATTCTCCTAAAACACTTTGGAACGGATAGTTCAAGTATGTTTATTGAGACCAGAAAGAATTACATCTCAAAGGGATATAGTAGCTTAGGCTATTTCTACTCCCCCCCCCTGGAACGGATAGAACTCTGGCGGAAGAAAAGTAAACAAATAGGTGTTCTAAATGGAGTCGAATCTGAAGGGATTAAAGTTCCGAATGAAGTGTCGCAAGGTTCATGTTGCTGCTTGAGTCCACATTACAAAATATACCTAACATACTATGATTTCTGGAAAGGTGACAACAATAGAGAACATTTACTTCCATGACAAGTTACCGTCACAATCTCCGCAAATGGTCAAAAGTTGCAAGACTCTACGTATGGGATAAACCAATTCTGACCTCAGTTGTTATAATGAAAATCCTACTTTGCTATTGGTGGAAAAAGAAGTGAACCCTTACGAAAGTTCCCCCAAAACAGTCAAAGCAAAACTTGTGCCGAGACCAGAGCTGAAACGCAGTGCGAGATTACCTAGAGATATGTATGTAAGTCTACGGTTTTCAAAATCAAAGTCAATCGTTTGTTGGCTTACGAGCGGTACAAGATTTAGAGCCACACGCATTATCTACCTACTGTCATGTGACAGTAACTGTCCTCGTGCCCTCCTGTCTCACTGCACCCGTCATGTCAACATGAGGACGGTTACTATGTCATGACAGTGGACAGTATCCGTGACTCTTTTAGTCTTACACCGCACGTAAGCTAACAGCGGGAGGTGGGCGGAGACACCCACCCCTGCAGCCACTCACTGTGAGGATAGTGATGACGAGGATGGTGACGAAGATGTAGCCCACGTTGACAGCAATCTGGCCAGCAGCTACGGCCAGCGTGTCGCCTGAAGAAGGTATTATTAAGATACTGTGGGGCCAGATTCACGAAGCAGTTACGCAAGTACTTACGAACGTGTACATCTTTCCTCAATCTTTGACGGCTTCGGTTACATTTATTAAACAGTTTACACGCATGGAAACTTCCCAATCACCTGTTGTTATTGTTATAAACAGCCTCCTGATGCTTCGGAGCTCATTAACTGTTTAATAATTGTAAACAAAGCCGCCAAAGATTGAGAAAAGAAGATGTACAGGTTCGTAAGTGCTTGCGTAAGTGCTTCGTGAATCTGGCCTCTGGTCAGACATGACCCCTTTGGCCTCTTCCTCTACCGTGTCTAATACTCAAAATATTTTCATTCAAATAAATTTCATAATTCTGTTTATTGTTGTTTATTGTTGTTTTTTGTTTAATCTGTCTATTTTCCTTTTGATTGTATAAGGTATGTGGCTGTTAATGCCTCATTTAATTTGTTGTTTGTTAAGTACGGTATCCTTTCTGGCATTATTATTACTACTAATACCACTACCACCACCAGCACCACTACCACTACTCCCACCCCACCACCACCACCGTAACCACAAGCGGCCAACACTTACCATAGTCAAGGCAGATCCCTCCCAACACGCCAGAGGTCGCCATCCAAATGGGCTGAACGTGAATATGTATATAAATAAGATAAATATCAATACGTGAGAATAATAAAAATATCTTTCAAATACATCAATATTACAATAATAAAATAGTGTTAATTAGTAAACGAGAGAGAGAGAGAGAGAGAGAGAGAGAGAGAGAGAGAGAGAGAGAGAGAGAGAGAGAGAGAGAGAGAGAGAGAGAGAGAGAGAGAGAGAGAGAGAGAGAGAGAGAGAGAGAGTGAGAGAGAGAGAGAGACATCACTCGGGACGTACAGAAGAACAATAGGGAGAGACGTCAACAATAACAGAGGTAGACACAGAGAACAACGTGGACAGACATTAAGAACAACAGACTCAAGAAAAGAACAACAAAGACGTAAAGAACAACAGGAACAGTCGTCGAGAAAAACAGGGACAGGCGTCAAGAACAACAAGGCTTGATGTTAAGAACATTAGGGACAGACATGAAGAACAATAGGAAGAAATAATAACAAAAGAAAATGAAGACCACCAATATAAAACAGGAAGTTATTCTTGAGAACACGAGTACAAGGCTTCAGACGACCGTTAGTACACGAGTACAAGGCTTCAGATTTCCGAGAGGGACACGAGTGCATCATCAATGAGTGTCAATCAAAGAATTACGGAAAGACTTTAGAAACCAACGGAAAACGTAGAGTAGCAGAGGTTAATTGAAGGACATGACCTGACCAGCGAGACGGAGCCGAAGACGATGGCGGTGACCCTCAGGGCCTCAGGACTACACAGGTTGTTGGCCGAGTCCTCCATCGTGTACAGTCTATATAGTTACTCGACCACCTTCCAGATAGACTGTTGCTACACGGGCCTTCGCCTTCCAGATCGACTCTTGGTACACGGTCCTTCGCCTTCCAGATCGGCTCTTGGTACACGGGCCTTCGCCTTCCAGATCGGCTCTTGGTACACGGGCCTTCGCCTTCCAGATCGGCTCTTGGTACACGGGCCTTCGCCAACCTGCTTACCATTGCCATCTCCTGCTTAACATTGCCATGATCTCTTACTTCAGGTCACGGAGAGATGGAGAGAGAGAAAGGGAGAGAGCTTATTAGAGATTAAATAACTAATACACAGAATCTTTCTTTTTCGTTATTGTTATTGTTTTATGTGCGCAGGTGAGTACAGGAGTTCTGACTCAAGCCAGCAAGCTGAGCTTTCCCTTACCATAGCTTGTTGTAAACATTACCTTCTAGTTTTCCCTGGAACACGACCCACCAATCTGTGTACAACTGGGTATCCAATTACTGCTGGGTGAACAGGGACAAACCGTTAAGAATCGGGTTAAAGGTACAAATAAATGTTATATAAATTATGTATACATCACCCATGTGACTTTTAAATCTTTTGACATCATAATAAGAATCAGATAATCAAGTGATGAGGACTTATATGTATCCCGGCAGTTGGGTACAGCAGTGATCTTGCGTGATGCAGAGTCGGAGTTCGATCCCCGAGTTCCCAGGTGATTGGGTACCGCTCCCTCACTCAGTACGCTCTCAGTTCATCGTCCTTCATACACCTTCCCCACAACAATAACCTGATCATTACCTCACCTTGCTAAGGTTGTAAGTGGACGGCGGACGCTGGCAGCCAGCGAGCGACTGGGTGGTAGATTACACCACAAACAGGGTACAGGGGAGGGGGAGATAGCAGCCACCACTTGTGAAATAAGTTATCAGTTGACGCGATGTCAGTAGTTGCTTGTAACGAGGTGACCATTAAAAGTATACGAGATCCTCCAAACGCCACGTTATAGTTAATGATCAGGTATACTACGAATGCTGCTATTGGCAGCAGTAAACTATCATACCAGCTCCGTCACGCCACTATAGTGCGTGTATATAATGTTGTTTACAGTTCAGAGCTGTAAAGAAGGATATCTTATCTCTCCATAACCTGACAGCGATACTATTTTGTTTAGTGGTATGATACTTCATTGTTTTACAAACACCGGTACAAGGCATGAGCACTTTCTTCAACGTGCAAATTCCATTCAAACAAAGATTTAACTCATTTGTCTAATTCTGGTATATAAAAAATGTGTATTAATTGATTATATTTTTATTTTATTCTACTTATTCGTATCATAATTTCCATTATATTATACGAAGCAAAGTTAAATATGGCAACCTGATAGTGTATAACATATGTTAGCAATGTATCTCAAGTATGTAATGAATCAGAACTCGCTAAACTAATTTAGACGGAAAAATACATGGGCTAAACTTTACTAACGTGACGGTGCACAGTATACAATACAATATAATACAATGGTGTTTTTTTAAAGAATGTGTGTATACAAAGACATAGGAGTAATGTACAAATTGTAAAGACAGGAGTTACACAATCTATGAAGCTACTATAACGCAAAACCTTTCGGGCAATAATGCACGAATAATATAACTAATAATAATAATAATACTAATACTAATAATAATAATACTAATAATAATAATACTAATAATAATGCAGTCTCGGTAATAATGAACGAAGATATTACTTAACTTACCTTGAGCAATATAACATGGAAACTCTGAAGGATATGACATCAACGTTCATGGGGTCTCTGTACACACACCCGTGGGACGTGTCTGGCGCTCACAGACAGACGGACAGACAGAAAACAGACGGAGACGAGGACAGTGTAGCGGGTGTGGGTTACTGCCACACCCCCAGTGGGCAGTACTCCCTCTATAGACTGTTATGGCCGTGATCACAATTGGGCCATATACGGCTCTCTGCGGTGTTATGTGCTTGTTCCAACGTACAGGTAAGAAGGTACTCCTTATTCTCATATCAGATATAGACAAAAATACAAGTCATAGCTTCTTATCATCCTTTGCAAATGACACAAAAATCAGAATAAAAATTACCTCTGCTGAAAACATTGAAAAATAAAGTTTTTTATTGACATTGATCAATAAAGTTTTCGACTGGGCAACAGAAAATAACACGATGTTTAACAGTGATAAATTCCAGGTACTCTGGTACGGTAAAAATGAGGACCTTAAACATAATAGAGGGTACAAAACACAATCAAATCTACCCATAGCAGGAAAAAGAGCATGTAAAGGCTTTGGGAATAATGATGTCTGACGACCTAACGTTTAAGGAGCATAACCAAGCAATTATTGCGTCAGCCAGAAAAATTGATAGAATAGATTACGAGAACTTTCAAATCCAGGGATCTCATCACATTAGTTGTACTATTCAAATCACGTGTGCTGTCCCGTCTTGAGTATTACTCAGTACTCACTTCCTCCTTCAGAGCAGGAGAGATTGCTGAAATAGTGGGAATACTGAGAACATATACGGCATACATACATACATACACGCGATAAAGCACCTAATTTATTGGGATCGTCTCCAAAGTTCTCCAAATGTTCTCACTAGAAAGGAGACGAGAGATATCAAATAATATACACGTGGAAAATACTGGAGGGCCAAGTCCCAAATCTACACAGTAAAATAACAACATACTGGAGTGAACGATATGGAAGAAAATGCATAATAGAACCTGTGAAGAGCAGGGGTGCCATAGGCACAATAAGAGAACACTGTATAAACATCAGAGGTCCGCGGTTGTTCAACATACTCCAAGCAAATTAATTAAATATGAGGAGAAAGTTCCAAGCCATTACGACTATATAAGTTTAAGAAATATTGCCGGAACAACCGTGGACATCTTCAGGAGAAAACTAGATAGTTTTCTTCACGAAATGTCGGACCAACCGGGCTGTGGTGGATATGTAGACCTGAGGGCCGCTCCAAGCAGCAACCTGTTGGACCAAGCTCTCACAGGTCAAGCCTGGCCTCGGGCCGGGGTTAGGGAGTAGAACAACTCTCAGAACACCATCAAGCAGGTATAGAGGTACCAAGCCGGGCAGACTACGTAGCACCATCAGTGTCGTTTGATATTCAAAAAGGCGCTAAGGATGCCGATATGAGAACAGAAACACATAAGGCGACCGATATCAAAGGTATCAGATTCACCAAGGATTTTGTTGAGGGACATTGGGAAAGGACGTCATACGACCTCTCTGAGCATACTTTTGAAACTATGACTATACTGTTGTAAGCCACAACTTCCCTTTTCGCTCGCTACTTTTACACAGAAAACGAGCCTCATCACACGGGGTTCGAGTATCCATCTACGTCCCTTCCTCCTGCCTTTGTTCGTGCTAAACATTTCGTTCTTGTCCACTTTGTCAACACACACGTCTTGTGTGTAGTGATCATGTCGTCTCTTACACTTCTCTCAGAGTAGTCTCCTGTGGAATTTAATTGATTTTGCTATATGTTTTTTTGTCATGTGGAATTCTACAGAGAGCTACATACTCTCAGCAGTGGTCTATCATACGTAGATAGTGTATGGTAGAGATCACAATTGATCTCTACCTGCGGAGAGATCGAGAGATGAATACGTCTGTAGGGTCGACCGCTGGATGAAATGGACTTGGTCTGAGGACGGATTTACTTGTGGATTTCTGAGCTTGAGCTCTATCATATCTACATTTGAAACTGTATAGGGAGTCAGCCTCCACTACATCACTTCCTAATTCCACTTATTGAATACTCTTGACACTGAAAACGTTCTTTCTAACGTCTCTGGCTCATTTGGGTATTTAGTTTCCACCTGTGTTCCTAGTGCGATTACCACTCGTGTAAAATAGCGTTCTTATCTACCCTGTTCATTTCCCTTGGAATTTTATGAGGTTATCATGTCTCCCTGAACTAGTCTGTTTTCCAGCGACATGAGGTAAGAGTTCACACAGCGTTTCCTCGTGACTCATAACCTTAGTTCTTAGACTAGTCTAGTGTCATACCTTTAAACCTTCTCCAGCTTCGTCTTATATTTAAGTATTGACGCCATGCTGGACCCGCATACTCTAGGATAGGTCTTACATATGTGTATACAATGTTTAAATGATTCCTTACACAAGTTTCTAAATGCAGTTCTGATGTTAGCCAGCCTCGCACACGCAGCCGATTATATTCATTTGACGTAGACTTCAAGAGACAGATTCGGTATGAAATCAATTCTTAGATCGTTCTTTCCGTCAAATTCGTAAAGGACTTCGACTCCCATTCGGTACCCTGTGTATGACCTGCTCCTCCACCTAGTTTCATTACTTTACATTTACTTGGGTTGAACTATAGTAGCCATTTGTTGGACCATTCCTGCAGGTAGGAAGGAACTGTGGTGGAGGGAGCTGGATGGGTCACATTTACAAGAACAGTTTGTTAGCCGTAGTCGTTAACAGTCGCGGATTGCAGTATGAATGACTGGTAGTCATTCCCGGTTCGACCACCAAAGATGAGATAATACGAGAATCAACCACAATAAGAAAGGAACGCAAGAAATATAAGCATTTCTTATAAAATGAGAAAAGAACGCATTATTTATTTATTATATTTTTATATATATATATATATATATATATATATATATATATATATATATATATATATATATATATATATTATATATATATATTATATATATATATATATATATTATATATATATATTTATATATATATTATATATATATATATTATATATATATTTATATATATATTTATATATATTTATATATATATATATATATATATATATATATATATATATATATATATATATATATATATATATATATATATATATATATATATATATATATATATATATATTATATATATATATATATATATATATATATATATATATATATATATATATATATATATATATATATATATATATATATATATATATATATATATATATATATATATATATATATATATATATATATATATATATATATATATATATATATATATATATGCATGCGAGACACACGCTCGTCCTGGAAGTTAGGACATTCAACAAGGATATGCATGACCGTAAGAGGGACAATGCAATTTGGACAATAAGGAGCAAGGCGGCGCTCTGTTAAGTGACCGTGAGTTAAACGGGTATAGCCAATACGTAACCTAGCCAGAGCCGTTACCCACCGCCGATTACGGTGATAGGAGGAAGGCCACTGGGACACACGACTCTTAAGAGTACGCAGTTTGTTACCAATAACAGAAGACCAACAACTCTGCCAGCGGGCGAGGATGGAGGCATGAATAATTGGGTAAAAGTTGGAATAAGGAATGCCTTTACAGGAGATTGGACAAGTGCGGATAGCTTCCTTAGCGGCAGCATCCGCGCGCTCATTTAAAAGAGACACCAACATGGCTGGGAACCCAGCAAAACTCAACCGACTTAAATTTATTGGAGATAAGAAACAGCCAGTGTTGAATCTCGATGACCACCGGGTGGACCGGATTAAAGGATCCTAAAGCCATGAGGGCACTACGAGAGTCAACTACCACCACAAAGGAGGATTGACATGGGAAAGCAGGAGACGAAGAGCATAGAGAATAGCATAAAGTTCTGCTGTGAAGATGCTAGCCTCCGGAGGAAGGCGACACATAAGTGTGGTCAGGAAAAACAACAGAGTAGCTCACACCGTCAACAGACTTGGACCC